CTCTAGGAAATATTAGAATGCCTAAATAGATGCAGGCAAGCCGTTTATTGCTTGGAAAAAGTTCCAAACAATTTGTTCTATTCAGCCTGTTACCACAAACTAACAAATCATAATGCTACCAAAACTCATTTTAGGTTTATTCTTGTACGCAGGGGTTTGCAGACAATGCCATGGTCACCATCTAAGAACTGTAGGTTCTACTGACGCGGATTCCGAAGTGCAAGATCCCGGACTGGCGTCCACGTCTCACCCAGAGCCTCAGATTCACGAACCTTCATGTTCTACGGAGTCCGCAGAGGAAATAGTACAGCCACCACAGTTACTATCGTGTGATACAGAAGAATCGTCTGCTGCCCGTCCTTCAAGTAAGATTCCAAGAAGATCTCATTAGTGAGGTAAGTTCTTCTTTGGCAGTGTGTGAATGAGTTTACTGATTTCAAAGGGGCGGGTCGTTTGCGTCACTTGCTTTGTAATTGTTGTCATAATCCACTGATCTTTAGAACAAATCAGAGAAGGAGGGAGATTTCTCCGATTGCAAAATTGGATAACTGATAAGAATGCCAGGCCGAGAAAAGACGCGAAACCTTAAATTCCTAACAGTGAATTTCAACATTTTATTGCTTTCGGCACTTATTAAAGATAAAACGTTGGCGACGCACGTAAGCGCGCGCAAAAGCTCATGGGACGGAATACATTTTTAATCCAAATAAAAGGCCATAAACATTCTCGAAAAAAGCAGACCTTCCGGGTGTTATCTCTATTTCAAATCAAAATGCGCGTCTCGGTGCCCCTCAAGGCCCGACAAGCTTACAGGTTCTCCAGGCATTCAATAGTCCTGACATACTGACTGGTGTCTTCCGTGCATCTTCCAGCACGCAAGAACAGCAGGCCCGCAGCACCTCCAACGGACCCTATAGCCGTAGAACGGATTCAGCTTGAAGAAGAAGAGCGTGTGGCCTTTGGCTGCCGAGAGGAGGGTTGCATAAAAGTTTACCAAAGTCACAGCAGCCTTCAGCGTCACCTTGATGCTGGGAAACACCTTCTAGCGTTAGAGAGAGAGTCCACGTATGACGTGATAAGAAAAAGTGGGCCGAAACCTGCAAGTCAATTTCTGGTAGCTACGTGGAAGCAGCTCAGCCGCCCACATCTGCATCCGCCTCAGTTTGCCACAGCCAGTCGGAAGACCCGCTGCCAACAGCTGACATGGGCTGGGCATTAAAAAAGACCAAAAAGTCTGTTCATTTCACCACTAAAGTGTGCCAATTTTTGCGTGGTCTTCCTTCAGTAGCAGCACGAATGAGGTCCGTGCGAACCGCTGAGGGAACGAAGGTATTTGCCAAAGACGAGTGGCTGACATCTACCCAGATCTCCGGATATTTCAGAAGAATGGCCGCATTAAACAGGAGTGGGGGTCTTCATAGAAGAGAGGAGGCGAGGCCAGCACCAACAGAACCGGTACCCGAAGGAGGAGAAAGCGAAGATGAGGAGATAGATCCATATGTGGCTGAAGCTCCCATTATCAGAACACGGCTTCAAATCAGGAGGGAGCTAGAACTGTAACTTTACTTTCGATGAGAGTGTTTTTCTGTTTGATTATATTTATTTTGACTTTTGTCTTTGATAGTTCTTACAAAGGACAGTTCTTTAGGGCACAAGTCTCAAAAACACGCAGTTGATTTTGTTTTCAGTATATCAATGTCTTTCTCATAAAGTTTTCTGCATCAAGATGCAATGTTTATTTTTTTATTTTTTATTATTATTATTTTTTCCTTTATTTTTTTGCACAAGCACTATTACATCTATACCAATAAAATACTACTACAAGTACACAAAATACACTTCCTACTATACATAAATAATGGCTGACACAAAGACTGTTTAGGTACAATTACTACTATAAAATAGGATATAAGTTTTTTTTTTGCATTCTAATTCTCACTACCACGGCAGAATAGCTGAAACTTTTCCCATTTACTTTCCTGATCGGCAACTTTGTTATTTGAATTCATAAGTTTCTTTTCTAACTGATGAACATAACTGACTTTATTTAAAAAAACTGTAAAGGAAGGAAAAATACATTTGTTACGACATTCATAAATATGTTTCTTAGCTAAGACTAACATGTGATTGATAAACAAGTAGTCTTCTTTCCTTTGCCAAAAACCAAAAAGTATATCGCTGTCTGAAAGGTCTCTTAAGGATATATTTAATTGATTACTCCAAGTAATAAAGTCCGACCAGAAGCTCTTAGTACAGGAACATATAATTAACAAATGCTCAAGGGATTCGCTCTCTTGTTTACAAAATGTACATAATGGTACAAGATGCAATGTGGCGTGCAAGTTTCAAGCAAATGTATTATTCCTTTATTACATGAACAAAAGTCAGTTTCATTATACGATCATTCCAACGTTCAAATACAGACAGTGTAAGCATTTTGATAGAGTTCTGGGTCTCGCGTGTTTGACTTAGCGATGAGTAAGTTCGGTCACGAAGTTCACTTATGCAATAATAGAGGTCATCATTAAGCCATCGATTGTCATTTTCATGGCTTAGGACGAACAAAAGCTTTTGAAATGGTTCAATTTCATTAAAGTTTATGGTGTGTAACCATTTTGCTGCATTTTCTACCTGTTGCTATGTCTATATTACCGAATTAGCGAGTTATGATGAAAAAAAAAAATGAAGTGGGTGTCCTGTGGTGGGCCAAGTTTTTTTTTTATTTTAGCGATTAGATAGAAATGGTTCTATTTCATCAAAGTGTATGGTGTGCAACCATTTTGTGGCATTATCTGTCTGTTACTGTGCCATAATTACCGAATTAGCGCGTGAAAATGAAAAAAAATTGACGCGGGTACCCTGTGGTGGACAACGTGTTTGCAGTCTTCCTGTGGAATAATGAAATGAGTGCCCAAAGATTTTTTTGCAGATAATGTTAGTATGAAGTCCCGCCTTCTAAACGGTATGCTCCGTTTTTTGAAGCATGCTCCGGCATTTGAGATATTTTGGCCAAAACTTTGGATATTTCAACAGTTTTCACTATTGGGTGACAGGGGGAGGGGTCTTGGCTGAGATGACTTGTGTCATAGAAACTTGTCGTAGAAGAACGAAACATTTACGATAAATTGTCTTTGGGTAGGATAACATTCACTGAAATTATGAAAAGATTTGGTGGAATTCTTTTAGCAGTAGAGCTTTATACTTTTGACCAATTTTTAGGTGTTTTTTGGTGATTTTTTTTTAAAAAATAAGGGGGGTGGTCAACTCCCGCCAGTTTCGACCAAATTTCCTTAAACTTAGAGTGAAGTAGTTTTGGGTGGACCCTTTCAAACTGGCCAAGTTTCATCGAAATTGGTTAGATGGCTTGTGCCGCCCCTGCCTGGTCCTTTCGTGGATGCACTCTTAAGGTATTCCCACCTAAAAGAAGACTGCTAAAACGTGTCTTTCATTGACTACAGTGAAACGACTGGAAATGAAGGATGTTGTGAAAGAAACGGGAAACTGATAAAAGTACTTTTATATTTGTTTTGATAAATGAAATTACTGAGAAATAACCATAAACTAGCTTTGTTTGTTTAAAAGCGGTTTGTCTGGTACCAGATTTGTACAATTACTTCTGACAAGGCCAGCATTCTAATCTGCCACAAGTATGTGAAGCACGTGTCTTTCAAAGTCGCCTAGTATTTAAATTGGGGCTCTGGTCTGTTATGTACATGTATATTAGCACCAGGTATTGAGGTACTTTTTTTAACGGCCAGTACTTGTTTTGGTATTCCTTTGTGTTTGCATTGTTTACCTGCCACAACTGTCATGTATTTATTCAAGGGATTTTTCTGATGATTTGGTACTGATTTTTCTTTCAGGTTGCGGACTCGTCAGGGGGGATTCCTCATGGCTACATACCAACAGCACATACCTGCAGCAACGTTTTAGTCCTGCCAATAGGTTCATTGGCATGACAGTTGCCGCAAGAGCAAGGCCCTTGCTTGCACTTACATTTCCATATACCTATAAAAGTACCTGTCACTTTGTCAGAACACTGCTTATTTTACATAAGCTCGGATTTCTTTGTTCTTTTCGGGAGGAATATATTACCAAGATCAGAAAATATCTAGATGAAAATTCTACTGAGCCGTTAGTCCATGCATTTGTTTCATCAAAGCTGGACTATTGTAATGCTTTACTTATTGGACTTCCAACATACCAAATAGACAGACTTCAGTCAGTACTCATTACTGCGGCTCACATTATAACTTTTACTTGTAAATATGATCATATAACTCTGGTTCTAGTTAGACTACATTGGCTCCCTGTTTCCTATCGTATAAGGTGTAAAGTGCTACTGCTGACTTACAAAGCACTCAATGATTTATCTCCTGAATACATATCTGAGCTACTTAATAAGCCTAAATATACCCGCAATCTTAGATCTCAGTCTCAACATCTGCTTAGTGTTCCTAAATCTAGAACTGTTACCTATGGCGATAGAGCATTTTCTGTATGCGCTCCTAAGCTATGGAATGAACTGCCTTTTCAGTTGCGCATGTCATCAAATATACAAACATTTAAATCAGGACTGAAGACAATGCTTTTTAAAATGGCCTATCTTTAGATGGGCATTTGCTTTATTATTTTGCATACTATTATGTATTTTCTTTTGTTTCCTATTTTTTTGAGGTGTGTAAGATGTAATCAGTAATTATTTTTTAATTATATATAATTGTAGGTAGGATGAAATTGTAAAAACTATTTTATAGTTAGTATAAGGTTTAAAATTGTAAAGTGCTATGAATAACTAATATAAATAGTGCTATAAAATGAATTATATTATTATTATATTGTATTATTATTATTATTATTATTATATATTATATTATATAACCCCCGAATCAACCGTCTGAAAAGCTGGGCGCAGCTTTGATTGTTTCAAGGGAAGAGCGGGGCTAATAAGCAGCTAATTAAAATGCGAGGCGATTATGTATTAATATGCAAGGGGAATAAATCACTTATCCCCGTCGCATATTAATACATAATCCCCTCGCATTTTGATTAGCTTTTCATAAAAAAACAAAACACAAATATCTATTGGAAATATTAAACACGATGCTATAATTTCTAAAATTAAACTGAGCTGTGTTTAGTAAAGGATTGTCAAAAGATATACGATGTAAGCTCGACATTAAATTGGCGACGAGGTAAAAGTGGAATGGCGGTAAACATTGGATACAAACAATTTCCCGAATTCGACGTTCGGAATGACCCCGAAACGGTATACGCGCGCTTCTCAAAATATGCTAAGCGGTTCAAGAACAACCACTTGAAAGCCCACAACATCACAGACAAGCACCAACAAAGATCATTATTCCTAGACTCGATAGGCGAAGCCACACTAGATATATTCGAACAGCTTGACGATACGGGAACGGATTTGGATGGAGCTATCACCGCACTACTGAACAAGTTCAAAGAATCGCAAAACCGGCTGTTCAATATACACAAATTTCGTTGCACTATACAGGGAAAAGATGAAACCTGGGACTTGTTCATCGCTAGGCTAAAACCAGAGGGCGAACACTGTGATTTTCCGGCAGGGTGGTTGGATACAGAGATATTAATGCCCATGATAACGAACGGCAAATCAAAGAGTGAGAAGAAAGCTTTTGCAAGACCAACTAACGCTAGCTGAAGCTTTCAAATACGCTCGTGGCCTTGAGAGTGCGGATCAACACGCTACAAGAGTAGAAAACCAAACGACGACCGAAGTGACTGTCAAGCAAGAAATCAATAAAACCACTGTCGACAAAGGTAGAGAAAAACTGTGTTTTAATTGCGGGAAACGTTGTCCACACCAGAGGGGACAAAGAAAATGCCCAGCTTTTGGAAAACAGTGTACGCGATGTGGCAAAAGAAACCATTTTGCAAAGGTTGCAAAAACAAGCAAGAAATTAAATTAGCCCAAGGAGGCGAGCAAATATCTGACACATCGTCCGACAGCAGTGATGAAGAGTCCACGTGCACGCTGCAAGAGGTAAACCCCGTGGGACAGTCACACAATAGGCCCCTAAAAACAGTGCTAATTAGCGGAGTTGACATTACGGTACTACCTGACAGCGGTGCTACGGTCAATGCTATGGATGAGGCAACGTTCAAGAAATACAGCCTAAACAAAAGAGTAAAGGTTAGAAAGTCAAGATGCCAAATAAAACCATATGGGGCAGTGTCGAAAGCAAACACCCTGCCTGTTCTGGGTTGTTTTGAAGCACTTACGGAATCTAAGACAAAGATGAACGTGATCACGTTGCAGCTAATAAAGGGAGACACCTGCACCGAACCTTTGCTCGGGTACAATGATGCGAGAGACCTCGGAATGATTCTTGTGACCAATTCAATTGCAACAGAAAGCAATCAGCCAGAAGGGACAGACAACCTGAATAAAGTGTTAGAGAAATACAAGGACCGGTTTCAAGGAATTGGAAAGCTAAAAGGAATCCAGGTCGATTTGAATGTAGACCCTGATTTTAAGCCGGTTGCACAGCCACCACGCCGGCAACCGTTCAGCGTACGTCAGAAGATGGAAGAAGAAATAAAGCATCTTATTGATCAAGACATCATTGAAAAAGTCAACAAACCTACAGGATGGGTGTCACCGCCTGTGGTTACGCCCAAGAAAGATCAGAGCCAGATACATCTGAACGTGGACATGCGCGTGGCAAATCAGGCAATACCCCACAGACACACCCAGCACCCTACAATAGACGATGTGGTCAATGAGCTGAGTGGCTCAATGGTTTTCTCCCACCCGGATATGAGCAAGGGATACCACCAACTTGAACTCAAAGAGAGTTCGCGGAACGTAACGACCTTTTCAACTCACATTGGCTTGTACAGGTATAAGAGGCTCAACTATGGTACAAAGTCAGCAGCAGAGATATTTCAAGAGACAATCAGAGAGGAATTGACGCACGACCTGAAGGGAGTTTTCAACGTAAGTGATGACATCATTGTGCATGGGCGTGACAAAAAAGAACATGATGCAAACCTGGTAGCATTACTCGAGAGAAGCTGCGAAAAGAATGTCACATTCAACAGAGCAAAATGTGAATTCAGAAAAGATCACGTGGTCTACTATGGCTTGATGTTCTCTAAAGATGGAGTATCTCCAGACCCATGTAAAGTGAAAGCCATTAAATCTGCAGGACGCCCTAGAAATGCAGCTGAACTTAACTCATTCCTCTGTACGGTCAGATATAGTTCGCGATTCATGGAAGCCAGACAGTATCAGAAAGCAGCGCGCAAACTGGGTGAGCTAGTGACCGGAAAATTGGAATGGAAACCGGAACACTCAGAAGCATTTGAGGAACTTAAGAACATGCTCAGTAGCGACACAGTCCAAGCATACTTTGATCCTCAGGCGGAGCACGAGCTTCATATTGATGGGTGCCCTGTGGGTTTGGCCGCAACACTTACGCAGAGAAAGCCTAGAGAACAATGTTGGAGAGTGGTGCAATATGCCAGTCGGAACCTCACCGACCCGGAAAAACGATATAGCCAGATTGAATTAGAAGCTCTAGCAGGTGATTTTGGGTGCAAGAAATTTCACCTGTTCCTGTATGGAAGACCCTTTAAGATCGTGACTGACCACAAGCCTCTTGGAAGTGTGTTCAACAAACCCACCGACACATCTTCGATCCGGGTCCAAAGGATCGTCAATCGTATGATGGACTATGATTTCATAGTAGAGTACTGTCCTGGGAAAGAGAACATATCAGATTACACATCACGTCACCCTATGCCACTTCACGAGTTCTCCAAGTTCGAATTGAGAACGACTAAGGAGGTACGGTATTATGTAAACTATGTGGTAACGTGCAGCACGCCCAAAGCTGTCACCAGAGACCAGGTAAAGGACGCCACTGAGGAAGATCCAGCACTTCAAGCACTAAAGAAGTACATCAACCAAGGCTGGATAGACACAAACGATACAAGGACACACAAATTTCGGCAAGTTTTCCATGAACTAACCATAGTAGACGGGATTGTCTTGAGAGGGGATCGGATCGTTGTGCCCGCAAAACTCAGACATAGAATGGTGGAAATTGCGCACGAGGGTCATCAGGGCCAGGTGCGAACAAAACAGCTTTTGAGAGCACTTGTATGGTTTCCCAGAATGGACTCACAGTGTGACAAGTTTGTGTCCACTTGCATCGCCTGCCAATCTAACACGCCGCAAACGCATCGCGAACCACTCCGGATGACAGACCTACCAGAAGGGCCGTGGGAGAAGGTCAGCGTGGATTTTTGCGGACCAATGGCGAGTGGTGACCTCGCCCTCATATTTTACTGTCAATATGCCAGATACCCCGTGGTTGAATTCGTGGGGTCCACGAGCGAGAAAACAACAATACCGACTTTCAAGAGGGTGTTCGACACATATGGAGTGCCAAAAGAAATCAAATCAGATAATGGACCGCCCTTGAACAGCCATAAATTCGAAGAATACGCAAAAGAGGAGGGGTTTAAGCACCGGAAAGTGACACCCGGATGGGCAGAAGCCAATGGCGATGTAGAAAGGTTCATGCAGAGAGTAAAGAAGACCGCTCGGATCGCCTCTTTGGAAGGCAAACCTGTGAGAAATGAAGTGAACCGGGGAATCAGGGCATACAGAGCAACTGAGCATGGGACAACTGGAGTCAGCCCGAACAAGCTCATGTTCGGAAGGGAATTACGTGGAAAGTTCCCTTAAGTCAAGGGACAGCCTAAATACAGGGATGACACGATGATCCACTGTCGGGACTGAGAACAAAAACAGAAGATTAAACAATACGCTGATAAAAGAAGACACACAGCCGTGATGAAAATTAAAGTCGGGGACACTGTGTTGTGCAAGCAGGAACGTAAAAACAGCCTGACCCCTCTGTATGACCCGGAGCCTATGGTAGTCATTGGCGTCAAGGGAAGCTTGGTCACTGCCAAGAACAGTGTTAGGATTCGCACCAGGAATTACGCCGATTGGAAACTGCTCAAAAATGGTTGTAGGGAATCACCGTGGTGTGATGATTCTGGCAGTGGTGATGCATTTGAACCGGATGAAGTTATAATTGAATGTCCAGAGCAATCCTTAGCAGGGCCGAGTGGGGATGCATTGCCAGCGGACAGATCCTTAGTAGGGCCAAGTGGAGATGCAGTTCCAGCGGACAGATCCAGTGAATCAAGGCAAGGTCATGAGCAGCCAAGAGCAAACAGCGACACAGCTGAGTACGAGAGTAGGCAGAGATCTCTGCAGCCCGGATCAGACCGTGACACAGAGCGAAGACATGCGCCCTTGGACAGGCCCAGAAAGAAAACAAGATCCACCAAGGACACTAAATATAAGGACTTTATTTGCGAATAGCGAGCATTTGCGTGTCTACTAGCTAGATTAGAGCCTGTAAAGGACACAAGGGCTTACTTGTTATTAGCAACATTTAATTTATTTAGTTTATTTATTTTTGTGTTTGCTGTTTCTGTTCGCACCGTTGCGTCCCATCCACGTGATGGGGGGAGAGATGTAATGGCGTGACCGCATGCGTGACACGCCTAGTTAATAGTATGCATATTACATGTTATTAGTTTAGAACGTGTGAGATTGTATCTTAACGTACGAAGTAAAGGATTGTCAAAAGATATACGATGTAAGCTCGACATTACACCTTGGTCGACCAATATTTGAGCTTATGTCAGTTCACTATTCAGAGTATTGCTCAGAGCCATGTGCTGCTCACAATTAGGGCTGAGAGGGTTTAGTCTTATCATGGATAATAGAAAGACTGGATAGGAAACTGGCTGACGCCATTGGAAAAATGTGGAAAAATGTGACGTCACATTATCGAGAGCCATTCAACCTCTTACAGCCAATGTTTTGCGCATCCTACTTATCATCGCATATTTCATATCTCTGTCTTCGACTATACAGATTGCCCATGTTTTGAAGTAAAGGATGAAGGGTACAAAACCGGTAGAGGTAAGAGACAAGGTAAATGATTATGAAACCAGTGTGAGAGCGAAGAATGACTCCAGCACCAGTTATTGTATGCACCAAATGGGAAGCCTAACTAAATAAAAACTACGCGAAAACTTACATGTATACAGCCACAAAACACCTATAAAAAGGCACAGCCTAATTTTCTACAAACCATAAGAAAACCGGAAATAATTTTAACTCTTTTTATCACGGTTTTGACGATTTCTTTTCTGCTTTTATCGACAAGCTCAGCGAGTATCAAATTTTAGAAGTTAACAACCCTCGACAAAATTATTTTTTTAGCCGTAAAAGTACCCAGCTCAAACAAGCGTTTAATTTTCCCTTCAACTTCATTTACGGACAACCAGTGCCAAGAAGCTGTATTTGAGAAGGGTAAAAAACCTGGAAAAGCTCACAGAAGAGAAAGGAAATTTGCTTGCGGACCACCATGGAAATGCCGTTTCTAACTTTTTCAAATCAATTTTCATAGTGAAGAAAGTTTATTCGTTATTTCCAGGTATAAATGTACAATGACCCAAGGTACTTTTCAGTCAGGTCTTTGGAAAAGCAAACTGCAATGCTTTTATTAATGTTATGTAAAACAGTTAATTGTTAACTACTAGAATACAACTGGGAAGCAAACTCTCCTGGTTAATAATAAAACCTTCACTTCCTTTTCACGAGGAAAACACTTGTCTTCCATAAGGCTTATTAAATATTAAAACTTAGAAGTATATTATCTTTGTAATCCTGACCTTTTTTAGGATGATACAAAGTTTAAGTGTTTGTGTTTGTTTGCTCAAGGAACGTAAACGTCCATTCAACCTTCAAGAGGATTTAACCATCAATCGCCATGAAATTCTTAAATCCTTAAACAAGGATATTGAAGAAGGCATTGCCAGCATAGTCTGGACTGTGGATGGTGTAATATCTTTTCGGCCTTCTGGTGACAGCTCTGTCATTGAATGCTGTACTTGAATGCTGGATTGTCAGGAGATCATAGCTAAGTATTGCGAATAGCTTGAACTTATGTTTATTTACTTGTAGTGACTGACAACTTTGTCATTGAACGCTGTCAATCTAACTTTTTCTTGCAGTAAATGAATTGCACTACACTACTATTAATAATCTTTTTTTTTCTTTTGCACATCTGTATTTACCTTTATGGCACCCAAGAACTGATTGCTTGAGTCATTGTATATATTTCTTTATTGCTTAATGATATTATATATAGTTTTTGTACTTACCGGCAAATAATT